AGTTAGGTTCTACCCTATTAAGATAAAGACATCCTTATTAAGGAGGGCTTTTCTTGAACCTTGGACAAACTAACAATTAGAAAATACAATACAATTTTAGATTTTATTAGACAACAAAACAAAGCAGCCTACCTTAGGTAGGGCATAATTAGGGTGCTAATACCTTCCCTTTATGCAACCAGTCTCTATACCCGATTTCTAAGACCAGTTAGGGTTTCTAGTGACCAAAATATTATGTGACGACTCACATTCCAATTTTCTACTAATAAAAGACACGAATTCCTTGTCTCTCCATATTTTTCCAGAGATAGGCCATATATATTTTTCCTAGAGGGTAGATGATCGCCGCGATGCCAGATGCCATACAGGTACGATAATTTGGATTGAGTTTTAATTTAATTTGGGCCTATACCTAATAAATTTAATTTATGCGTAAGCCTAAATAAATTCAATTTGTTTGGAGAGAGCTTGGGGTCATAGGCAAGCTTAATGGAGTGAAAATGCAAAAGGAAAAGCTTTTGGCTAGTGTCGTGGTGTGCATGACATCGAATGGTAGGTGTGCCTCTTGGATCGAAGGGTTTTGAGATTAATCATAAAATTATGATTTTAAAAGAATCTTCACTTAGTATCATGGTCACTAAAAAACCTAATAGTCTATGAGAATCTGAGTAACAGAACTAGTTATGCAAAGAAAAGACAAATTACCCCAAGTGTGCCCTATTAATGGTAAGCTGCATTGTCAATTTATTATTTTTCTAGGCTATATTTATATTCATTAGTCTCATCTAAGATTTAAAATAGATCTCTTTTTGTAAAAAAGTCTCTAACTTACCAAGCTAAAAACTAATTGTTCTAATGCTCAAATTTTAGAATTACATTTATTTTCTACTTTATATCTTTAATATTTAAGGATATACTTTATAGTGTAATTTTATACCCTCAAATAATAAAGTCTATAACTAATTTCTAATATTTATTGTTATTAATTCATTTAATTTAATACCGAGAGTATGCATTATGTTTTAAAATTCATACCTCAAATATTAATTAAAAATAATAATTTTTGTGGTATTTGTGAATTTTTTTTATCAAATTCTAATGGATAATTATAAACTAGTTATAATTTTCATATTGCATTTTTAAAACATGATAAAGATGTAATATTTATTTAGAAAATATACATGAAAACTTTTAGATTTGGCCATATGTATGTAAAAAAAAAATATATTTTTCTTAAAGGAGGAATTCTTTTGCATTTTTTTTCAAAATTTCAAAGAAAAAACCAAGTATTTTTAATACCGAACTAGTATCTTACAGTGTAATTTTACAACCTAATATTTGATAAAATTATTGGAAAGATACATAAAGGACCCATAAATAATTTAAAAACACTCCATGAATTTTTTTAGAATTTTTGAAGTTATTAGGCTTGTTTAACTAAACTCTAAAATAAAAACAAGCTAAAAACTAAAGAGAAGGGCAATAGGGCATGTTTACCAAACATGCCCTTAGTTTAAATTAAAAATATTTTAACATTTTATTTGTTAAACATGCCTTTAAGAACCAAACATGATATTTTTTCTAAAACAAAAATAGGGTATGTCAAACATGTTCTTAGGTGTGGGTTAGGGTTATTGGGCTCAAGACCCAAGAATGAGGGTCCAACCCTTTCTTTTCATTTGTTGGCAAATGACAGCAGCAGAACATGAATTATGCATGTTTTATGCATTTTGACAAGAGGAAGAAAGAATAAGAAGGATTACCCGGGCTGAGAAGTTGCTTAACTGCTCGAGGTTGGTGCTTAAGGCATTGGTGGTCCACGGTGGTGTTGCTTAGGTTACTGGAATCACTATCATTCCTAGTCTGAAAATGAAGAAGTGTCACTAGAATCACTATTATGCATGTTTTTTGGGTTATTTTTTTGCTTGAAAGAATGGTATACGGTTGGAATATGAGGTGAAAGGATGTGTTTTGGGATGGTTTAGTAGCTAATCTTTTCTAGTCTTTTCTTTTTCCTTTTTTCTTTTTCCTTTTTTCCCTTTTTTTTCTTTTTCTTATTATATCCCCACTTAGTTTTCTTCTTATTTCCCCTCTTAGTTTTCTCCTCCCTCTCTTCACCTAAGCTTCACCCCTAAATATAAGGGGTGAAGAAGTGGTCATGGTCCTTCTCAGAATTGAATCCTAGCCTTTAATTAGCCTATAAAGGTTCTCAACCATTGCTCATAAGCCAACAACTATACTACAAAACCAGGTTGAGGTTGTTAAGGTTGCTTGGGCTAATGGTTCTTGCTACTTATTGCAACGGTTATGAAGCTGCAAATAAGCAAAGATAAGGTTGGGGTTGTAGTACAATGTTAGGGCATGAGGGTTATATGTTTATTATCTTGTTTAGGGGGAAAATGAGGCATTAAATTACTCTGTAAAAGAGGAATATGACTAGCTTTTATAAGATCAAGACAGTGAACAAGGTCAAACCTTTTTATTAGGTATTGACCAAAATCATGTCATTTTAAATCAAGATATATTATTTTAGTCAAAACGTATCATTTTATTTAAATAAAACAATATTATTTTGGTGTTTTGTTCTAAATTAGGTCATAAAGTTTTTTTCATTTTAGCCCTCAATCTTTTAGATTGTTTAATTAAGTCCCTAATTGAATTTTGATTTTAAGAATTAATGCAATTTTACACCTTTAAATTCTTAAAATGACCCTTAGAGTTTGATGTATTTTTAATTTGGTCCTTGGTCTTGGATATTTTTAATTTAATTCTCAATTGACCTTCAAACTTTTAATTTCTTCAATTTCACCTTTATTTTTAACCAAATTAGATCCCTGAATTCACGCACCTTTTGCAAAAAGATCATTAGTCTTGGATTTCTTCAATTTGACTCTTAATTGAACCCTAAATTTTGATTTTTTTACAGTTTTGCCCCTAATTTCATCCAATTGAGTTTAAAAAAATTAAATTTGCTTCTCTAAAATTCAAATATTCTTAATTAAACCCAAATTAAGCTTTCAAATCTATTTTTTAGTAATTAAGTCCTTAATAAAGTTAATTTGACCCATTAAAAGCCTAATTAAATCTATACACTTCATCAATTCTTTTAATTTTACCCAAATTAATTATTAAACTTAATTAAACCCTTAATTAGGCCTATAATTAAATGAAATTGACCTATTAAAAGTCTAATTAAGTTCTCAAACTTAATTTTTGTGCAAATTCATTTGATAATTATTTAATTTAACCTTAAATCTGTATTGTCTTGCAATCCTAGATACAATTAGATTCTTGATTTTGTCCAAAGTCTTAGTTTAGTTCCTTTAAACTTGATTGTTTAGTTTTATGCTATTGAATATAAATTTGATTTTTGGATTGAGTTGATATTTTTACAGGAGTTTCTAGATATGTTATACATTTTGTTACAATATCAGGACAATTAGAGTTGGGTAAGGTATTATTTCAAAGGGTCAAAGTTACTAAATGAATCTTGTCAAATTTATTTGTCTAGACATTCGTCTATTTTTTGGACTATATTTAGAGCTACAGAATAAATTATGTTAATATACTAATTAAGTTGGAAAGTGGGCATACATATATTTTTATTAATATATGACACGCTTGCTAACTCATCCAAACAAGAGGGAACGACATGTTTGAAATCAAATCTGCTAAGAATATGTATAAAAATATCAGAATAAGGAATGTCAGGAATGTCCATCCGATAGTTGCAACAACTTCTCATCCAAAATAAAAAAAAAGTAGAAGGCAACAAGTTTTTCTTGTTTCCAAGGATAATAGTGGCGGCAAAAAAACTTTATATAAAGCCTTGTTTTTTATTTATTTTATTTTTTTATTTTTTTTCTTTTACGACAACAAAGATAATTTATTTTCATAAGTTTTATATTTTTAAAAACATTTATTTGGGCTATCTAATAAGTCAATAGCCTTCCCATTGTTCCTAATAGGCTTGGTTCATATTAAGCGGTCTTTTTTTTACTTTTCATTTATAAATGGGTATTCATGGAGATTTTTATTTCATTTGTTTTGGTGTCATAAAATAAATTTTTATTATATTATATTTTTATTAAATATGTGTTGAATTTTCAAGATTTATTATTAATTATATGACCACATAATCATATAATCATGTATCACCATGGGATATGAGAAATACCACATGGTACAGTGAAAAGAAGGGAGATTGATCGTGTTACTTCAAAACCATGAGTAATTGAGCAAGAAAATTAAGGTGCTGACTTGACAACCACAGCTTATGCCAAATTTTATTGATGTCCAAGTCAGAATGATCAACGAACATGAAATGATGTCTTTAGTTTACTGCCACGGGCTGGTTTCTATGAACCAAAAAAACAATCTTTGTGTAAACCTCTTCAAGGTTGCGAAGGCCACACGATTAACCTGTTTGAATGTAGTGGACAGTGACCTGTCGCCAATATACAATTTTGACAAATCAGGAGTTTCCACTTGTTCAACAAAATGAGCCTCTTGCTGGCCTCATTCAGTAGACCGTCATGCAATAATGACAAGGTCAAAAGAATTCGCGTATAAACTTGAAGGTACCATGGAAGAATGTAACTTGAAGGTACCATGGAAGTTTGTAACGTGAAGGCATCGTGAATGAACAATTCAAGGGAAATCAAAAAGCCTCTGACTGGAACTTTTTTCTCATGTATTTAGATACTTGCCCCTTTCTTCATTTTATAATTTTCAGCATTATCTCAGGGATTAATGTATAACAGAAGTGAGTCGTAATAAACCAACCAATATAATATTTCATACAGCTCAGTTGTTCCCTTCAAACTCTCTGTAATATCAAACCAAGGGAGTTTTGTGTTCAAGGATACTTTTTTATCGCAATTCAAATAAATTGCCCAGCAGATCATGGCGACAAGAACCACACTACCGCCCCCCACCCCCAACACACACCCACTCACCAAGAACAAAGCTAGAAATAAGAAAAGAAGAGACAGCCAGCAAACCAACACATTTCATGAAAAGAAAAATTCAGAAGCTAAATTACGGAAAGTTGAACTGAGATAGATTCAGTATGTAATACTATTGCATGAATGCTTTGACATATCAGAACCCGATCCATACCAGAAGTGGAAATGAGAAAGATAATACAAATGGAAACACCTTTCAATTGACACATGACATCATAATTTGAAATATTTTGTAAAAAAATAGTTGAAAAGGAACTTTGTATTGACTATGATTGCACAGCTTACTTAAGGGCAGTCAGCATGGAGCTTTGGATTGGCAATGACTGCACAGCTTTTAGGCAATCAGTATGCCTCTCTTATATAATGCTATGATATTGTAACTGGAAAAGGAGACCGATGAAGGAAAGCCAAATTGCATCCCTTGGGTGTATTTAGAACCAGAAAATATGCTTGTTTCACATATTTCATGCCAAATAACTGTTCTCTGTTCAATGCAGGCTCAACATCACTTGCAATTCCAACTGCTTTTAAATTCAAAGTCAGACAACAGCATAGGTTCCTACATATGCACTGAAATTCTACTCATACATTTATAACTGGGCAACCTCCAAGCTGAAGTAGTTCATTCTTTATGAGACCCCAGTTCAGCTTCAAGTATAATATAACAAACCAAAAGGAAAAATGGAGGTTTTCTGAACCAAGCCTTCAAAACTCTACATCCAGCATCATCAAAATGTGACAGAAAAAGCACTTGCCTCAGTGGAAAACAAAGAAGAATACCTTTTCTGCAACACGGTTCTGTTATAACTGGCAAAGATTTAAATGCTGCTGTCAAAGGAATTAAGTAACTAACTATGGATTGCCGATTCCCAAAAATTCCTGAACATTCCCTATCCCCTCGATCAAAGATAAGTAAGTGCTATCATTAGGAGTAATGCCTTTACTAATCATTTCTTTAAGGAGCTGTTCAGCATGATCTCCTTCCTCATTTTTGCATAAACCTTGTATCAGGGCATTGTAAGTGAGAAGTGTAGGGTTGAATCCTATACTCAACATTTCATCTCGAACTCTGAAGGCATCCTTCATATCACCTCTCTTACTATACCCACTTATTAAAGTATTATAACTGATATGGTCAGGTTTAATCCCCCTGCTCTTCATCTCTTCAATAAGCTCACGAGCTGCTTCAACTTTTCCCTCCCTGCAACGTCCTTGCATTAGGGTATTGAAAGTTACTTCGTCAGGAACAACTTTCATTTGATCCATCTCCTTCAGCAATGCAAATGCACGGTCCATATTCCCATTTGCACAGTGACCATCAATCAAAGCATTGAACATTATGACATCTGGGAAAATGCCTTTCCTGACTATCTTTTCAAACAATTCATCAGCCTGTTTCATTCTACCCCGTTTACTCAAAACATAAATCAGCGAAGTATATGTTACACGGGTAGGCTGAATCCCTTTGCTTATCATTTCATCATGGAGGGTAAATGCTTTCTTTGCATTCCCACATCTGCAATATCCATTTATCAGTATGTTATAAGTTACAGAATCAGGAACCAACCCCTTCTCGCTCATCTCTTTTATAATACCATCAGCTTCATCCATCTTACAATCCAAAAACAATGCATGAATCAACATGTTATAAGTTGAAACGGTTGGCATTAAACCCTCCCTCACCATCTTATCCCTACAGCCAAAAGCCATCTCCAAATTCCCTTTATTGCAATACCCATCAATCAAAGTATTATAAATCACAGCAGTTGGACGCAACCCAATTTCTTTCATGTTTTCAAGCATCCCAGATGCTTCCTCAAGTTTTCCTTCCTTGCACATTCCACTAATAAATGAACCATACGTGTACGAATCTGGTTTAACCCCTCTACATTTCATTAAATCAAAAATCATACGAGCACCTTCAACTCTTCCTCTTGAACAATATCCATGAATTATCGTATTATATGTAACAACATTAGGTTTAATCCCCAAGGCCTCCATAAACCCAATAAACTCCTTTGCCTTCTTCAACTTCCCATCCTTGCATAACACATTAATCATTATATTAAACGTAACAACACTCGATTTAATCCTCATCCTAAACATCTCAGCATACAGAACCCACGCCTTCTCCGTCCTATTTGACTTTAAAAACAAACTCAACATATCATTACAAGCGTGAATGTGAGGAATTACACCCTTTCCCTTCATCATATCGAAACACTCAAATGCATCATCACCCCTCTTCAATTCACAACAAGCCCTTATCAACAAATCATAAAGCACGTAAGTTCTAATTCCCAACACGCCCCTTGCAACTCCCAACTCATTGAAAACCTCCCTGATACTATAAACCCCACTGTTAATAGTTTCTTTCAAGAGTTGCAACGTGGGTTTTGAGTTTGGTGCGTTCGAGATTACCGCCATAGCAAGACACTTGCCTTTGATATCAAGATCACCGAATCCAATATGGGTAACAAACTGGAAGGCTAAATCAGGGGTTTTATGAAGACTAGTGAGAACAGTTGAAATTAGCGGAGTTATTTTGTGTGCAAGGTGTTTGATCAAATGCCACTGAGAAGAATGTATCGAATCAAATATCATTTGCTGGGTTAGCTCTGTGGGGATGCTTGGAGACAGAGTTTGATTTTGTGGTTTCTTAGTGTTTGGATTTGGCGTTGTTGAGAAAAATACCACATGGTAGTGATGTTTTTTGGTGTTGTGGGAAATGGTGTTGCCGGTTTTGAGGTGGTCGTGTTTGAGGAGTTGATAGTTGAGCAGCTTGTGAGATTTCATGTTGTGTGGTGTGAGAATTGAGATTGTTGCGGCCAATTTTGTTGTCAAAACTATAAAGAATAGAGAGGATCAGAATAAAGAAACATACCAATCGCACGTATAGTCTATCCAGCAGTCAAGCCCACGCAGCTCCACTTCAACCCATGATTTTCAATTCTGTTCGGTTCTTGGTGAAAAATACTGGTGTATCTCATTTCAGTTCAAAACAAAAAAGATAGAATAAACCATACGAAATTTTATCTCGTTAAGAAATCTCGGCCTGTTTTTGCTCAAATTTGAGCTAAAATATTTTGATTCTGTTACAGGCGTTCCATTTTAGCAAAATAACTTAAGTACATTATCATAAATTTTGTCGCCCATCAATATCAATTTTTTAAAATATAAAAAAATATTAAAAGTACGAGGAAGTTTTTAATAATATTGTTAGTATTAATTTTAAAATCTCACCACTCTATTCTTTATTTAATTCAGTTATTTAATTAAATCATATAAAAAAATAATTTTATTTAAATAGATCAATTTCATAAGTCCAAATACAACATTAATAATCAATAAAAATATAACTTAGTTTTTAAAAAAAAATAAGATGATATTTTTAAAAAAATATATTGAGACAATAATAAATTGAATTAACTCCCTCGTGACCCGGGTCATGAACTCTATTAGGTTTAATAACTAAATTTATAAAAAAAATTAATTATATCATAAAAATAAATGCTCATAAAATTGAAAATCAACCTAAAAGTAGATACTTATTTGGGATAATTATTCTTAGAAAGCAAAAAAAATCAAAATGCAATCAATTTTTCAGTTAGTCCAATATTAAATAATGGAATCGAAAATGAATAAATTAAAAACAAGTAAAAGACCAAAAAAATATATTATATCAGTTGGTAAACTTGTCAAACGTGTGAATTAGGTAAGTCGGGCTAGTACGTCAAATCTGTGAACTGGATTATGGACTCCATTAAAATTATAATTTGTTTTTTAAATTTATTTTTTATTTAACTACATGATAATAAAAATAAATGATTGTAAAATTAAACACCAACTCAATATTGAAATGTTTTTTATATCATGATAATCTGTTGTGTCGTAAATGATTCAAAATCGGCAACAATGAATCTGACGAAAATGGATGAAGGATGGGTCTGGTTGTGTTGTCTTTTTTTTGGTGTTTAGGCTGGATTATAGTATTTTTAAGGTAAATAAAATGGAGGATAGACTAGAGTGATACTTTGATAAGTCGATCTGGACACCACAAAGATCAATCTAGGATTTTGACGCCACACTCTTTGTGATTGAAGAGTGATAAGTCGGGTAGGGTTCTTCACAAATCAATTTGGAAGAATAACTCTTAATTCTCGGAATTAAGTTCAAATATTGGCCAAAAGTTGTTTATTACATATTCTGATGCCATATTTATAATGGAACATCCCTCCACACTTAGGAAAATTCAACATAACAACAATCAAGCCCAAAAATTGGACTTTGACAAAGTAACCAGACAAATTAAACTAACACACATTTTTTGACTTTAATTGAAACATAAACAGACCAAATTTAAAATGGCTATAACTTCTTGCACAAAAGTCCAATGCAATCATGGTTGGACAATCTGGAAAGATCATGTTCTGAACTTGAAATCCACCTAGATTAGTCTTGTTTTCACATGCAGTGGATGACTTCAAATTCGGGTTCAAATTCATCTACTGTTCTGACGTAAACAGCATCAATTTCTTAACTTATTTGCATTATCAACCCAAATTCAAGTAGTCCAGCATCAAAAGAACCATTAAGGGCTCTTCCCATCTTTAAGCTCCAATTGTAGGCAAATAAGCACCCTTGAACCAATTTGAAACTGATTGCCAAATTTTAACTCCGATGCAGCTTCAATCATTCCAATTTGACTCGTCAAGGTCCTTTGTAGTTGTTTCGCTCTCGCTCTTGTCATTGGACCATCTGAATCCTCTTGCATATTTGATTTACCTTTACGAGATGGATTATCATTCCCATAATGCACATCATAATCTCATAAAAAGAAAATAGAAGTCAATTATGAAATTGAATTCTCAATTAATATAGTATCTAAGAATGAATAGAATGAATATAATATTAAGTGATGAGTTATCACCATTAATATTATAATAATTATTATTCTCATCATTATTATTGTCATTACTAATATTGTTACTATCATTTTAACTATTACCATTACTATTTTATCAATAAGTAATATCATAATTATTATTAGTATTATTATTGTGATTATTATCATTATCGTTATTATTATTGTTATTATCATTGTTGTTAATATTATTATTTATACTATTCTTATAATTATTCTCACCGTCACTATAACCAATATTACCATTATTTTTATTCTTATTACTATCATTATTATTATTATTATTATTATTATTATTATTATTACTGTTATTATTATTATTATTATTATTACTATTATTAAATTGAAAAAATATATTATTATAATTGAAAAAAATCATAATTTGATTAAAGGATAAAATTAAAAATTAAAAAATTTTATTGTTGTTTTTGTTGTTGTTATCACAATCACAATTGCTATTAACAACTACTACTATTAATAATATATTCTTGTTCTTCTTCTTCTTCTTCTTCTTTTTCTTTTTATTCTTAATATAATTATTAATAAATTTAAGAAAAAATATTATTACTATTGAAAAAAAATCATAAATTTGATTTGAAGGTAAAATAAAAAAAAACTATGAGAAATTTGAAAAAAGAGTCAAGGAAAAAAAATGAAAAATCAAAAGTAGAAGCACCAAATTGAAAAACATAATATACACAAATTAGAATTGAATAGTTAAATTGTACACAAATAAAAACTCAGACATAAAAGAAAAAGATCAAAATCAAAAATTAAAACAAAGAGGATGGATTTTGAAATTCCAAAGAAAAATAGGGATGAATTTAGGATGACTGAAACTATAAAAGGAATAAACACAAAATTAAAAATTAAAAGAATATGGACTAAAATGAATATATATATATATATATATATATGAAATTGTAATTGAAGGATAAAATTGAAAAAAAAAAACTTCTATAAAAGGAATAAGGACGAAATAAAAAATTCAAATAATGAGGATTGAAATTGACAAACAACAGACAAATAAGACAATTGTGCACTTTAGTTAGAGAGAGAAAAGAACTAAAAAATACAAACAGCCGATCATCGATGGCAATTCACTTATTATCTGTCTACACACGTTGTACCATTGACACGATGAAAAGATTGATGTCTTCTCCCAAGTGCAGGAGTGTCGAAGTAATAAATAACCTGACAAGACCGGGGTCGAACCACAGAGAGGTTAATTGTACAAATTATAAACAACAACAATAGTAACAATAACAACAATAATAACAGTAGCAATAATAATACTAATAATACTACTAGTAGTAGTAATAATAATAATAACAATAATAATAACAATAATAAAGAAAAAGAAGAAAAGTTGATGAGAACTTTAAGATGGAAAATTAACATAAGGATTAAACAATGATAACAAACAATGTCAAGGTTAGAGGATCCACTAATGGTATGTCAAACAAGTATAGTATAAACTTTTATTATTCAATTGAAAACCACACACAAAGGAGGTTCCAATCAGATTATAGATTGTTAACATGATTACATTAGTCATCTTATTCAATTAATGTTAATACTTGTAAATCTCGTCAAGCATTCATGATTATAACTTATGTTAACAACAAATCAAGTTCCTTTCATAGCTCAGGTATCGGTTATACCATACAGTATGGGCTATGAAAGTGCCAAGCATTTGTTGTACTAAGTGTTATACAACATAAATCAAGATTAGTCATTTAACAAGCAAAGTATTAAAGAGTGAACAAGATAACAAATACAAAACATGTTAGTATCAAACATTAAAGTCCATATTAAGTTTACACGATACTTATTCTTACACCATTAGTGTAACCTTTTCACCTTGACATAATAAACTTAGCTAGACATAATGAAAGAAAGAAAAATAAATAAACAAAATAAGAACATAAATAAGATAAAAGTTAACTAAGTAAAGGAAAGGAAATGAAAGGCATAAACTTAATATTAATGAAAGCAAAGCATAAACATTACAAACAATACAAAGAAAGAAAGAAAGAGCATGATCTTGATCTGGAAACCAAGATGCCTAAATGCATGGCAAATGCCTCCTTTTATAGGCCAAAATTGGGAACTATTGATTTGATGACTAATTGATGAGTGGGTGACCAACTCTTGACTTGGTGACAATCCTTATCTTCTCTTGTCTGCCTAAAACGTCATTGATAACGTCAAAATTGGAGCCACTCGAAAACATAAAAGTTGTAGACAATTGTCTCATCTTTCTTGTGTAAAAACTTCAGCTCATTTGGACTTCTAGAACTCCAGATATGGCCAATATACTGAACAGTGCTTGGGCTGGAGGACAGATTCGGGCTTCTTTGTTGTTGCTACAATTTGGACTTGAAAATGACCTTTTTAAATCTTGGGCTCCATATGAAAGTTGTAGGCCTATATCTTACCTTTTCATCCATATAAAGTAGACCTAAATCTGAGATCTATAGCTCCGAATATGATCCAATTACCGAACAGTATTCTGGTATGGATTGCACCGACATCTCTTTTCTAATTTTGGTCATCTTTTTGCCCTTGCAATTTAAGTTCTTAAAGTTATCAATCAATCCTTTTATTTTTGAGATAGGCCTGCTTTTAAAATGAACATTTACCACAAATTAAAGGTATCTTATATTATTAGATATATTATTATAAAACATGCTTTAGTTAAGGAGTTATTGATACTTCAAGTGCAAAATGATGATATAAAACCATGATAAAAATACACTTTTAAGTACTAATCAACCATGTGGAAAAAAGCATGACTGCTTTTACAGAGAGATGGTGAATGGCTAAATTTAATTACCAGGACATCATACACCACCTGAATGGCGCAGACGCCGCCTACTTGCTAGTGGATATGGAACACGCACTATCAACTTTTTTATTAAAAAATAAAATGTGAAAATATTTAATTCTTTATTTAAATCAAGTATTTAATTAAATCATATGAGAAATAACTCTATTTAAATTGATTAATTTTATAGATCTAAATACAACATTAGTGATCAATAAAAATATAACTTAGCTTTTAAAAAAACTTTAAGATGATATTTAAAAAAAAATATTGAGACAATAATAAATTGAAT